AGTTTATCAAATTTGTCGAGTTGTCTGAGTTCTAGTACGAGTGATGTGACAATTTGGCTTTAGTCGACTTGGACTCGCCTATCTCTTGGCGTTGATGCACACAATATGCTTGTCGCTGAATGACGATAAAGCTTCGCTGCGTTCTTCTTCCAATTGTTGATTCAGTTTATCAGAACCCAGTTGCTCGGTTAAAGATCGGTAAATCGAAGATGAACGTTACTACGGTAGTATTCGTATAAATAGTTTAATGTAGAAGAAATAGCTATAAATAATAATAAGTTAGAGTTACAGGTTCTTGTCAAATAAAGTGAATATATTTGTAAACAAAATATACAGACCGCCATAATAAGTGCATTAATATCACTAGTAAAAAATCACTTTCGACTGACCGATGTTTACTGTATTTGATCTTTCTGCACATCCGTGTGCAGGAAAGACTCGAAATGATATTGTGCACTGGGCGGTGGTGACACATTAATTAACATAATAATAGTAGAAACAGGAAGATACTGTAAAATTGGTTATATTTTGATTATCTGATATGGCTTCTAGAAGATAGAGCAAAATCTCCTCTATAAAATACTGAGAAGTCGAGCTCTCGAGCTCTTTTTGTTCTCGAATGATTCACAAAACATCCACGACCACTGTATTGAGAAATGGATACTAATCGGAGACGATCGATGTTGTGAGCGTTTATGAAAGAAGCGTCTATTGAATAACAAAATAAAATAACTTTATTGTATTGGTACGTAGACAAACGGCATGGACTGCGTCAAAAAGTGTTTTTTGGCCACTGGACTTGATTAGATGAAAACTTTACGGAAATTTACTTTCGAGTTTTTAGCCATAAATCCAAAAGCTCGACTGGCTTCTTCCAGTCAATTCTGAGAAAAAAGCAAAACAGCGCCGTCTACATGAGTTTTCTCAGAATTGACTGGAAGAATCCAGCCGACCTTTTTACTTTATGGCTAAAAGCTCGAAAGTGAAGTTATGTGAACTTTTCATATATCACAAAAAACTAACGTCCAACATCTGTCATCTGATGATCTAGTAATTATATATTCTTTGTAGGAAACATTGATGATCGACATTCATTGTTTAGTTTTCCTAAGCGTATGTTTTCGTTGTCATGTGACAGTGATGCATTCCACGATAATGAGTTATCAATGAACAAAGATGCAGTTATCTTGATATGGTATACAAGAAATAATAAACTCGATTATGATTTAGATATAAAACATACAACACGTACATTACAAAACATGAATAATAATTTTCAATTATATAATGAACAAATAGCACTAATTAATGCTATTAAATTACTTTTTGTTAAACAAAAAATATTCCTTGTACTCTCGTGTAATGACTGCGAAAATATTTTATCTTCTGTTCATAATTTATTTCAATTAGATAGTGTTTTTCTATTTTTTACTAATCAAGGAAAATATCAACACCTAACACAAAAATATCCAAAAATCATGGGTATTTACAAACAACGATCGATCCTTGTCAAATCTATTCAACATCATATGAGATGTGTTGAAAAACAACAAACAATTTTAAATTTATATGGTGATAAAAATCAAAGATCAGTACAATATATAGCTCAAAATTCACCATCGTTCATTTGGTTTCAACTATTGAAAAATCGTCTATTAGATACAAAGGAAAAATCGTTCAATGTAAAAGAAGAAATGTTACGAAGATGTCGATGGTCTTATCGCGATAATCACGAACAATTACGAAAAATCGATGAATTCGAACGAATGTATAATCATGCTTATGATGCTTTGCTCTGGTACACAAAACAATCATTTATCTACAGCTTAGTTAATAAAGCTTTAAGGACAGAAAGTATCGATACTCTTTTTACGTTTCATTTTTATGTTGTCGATCTCAGTAACTGTCTAAAAGTGCTGAACGAACAACAATTTCGGCGTAGAACAGAAATACTAACGTTTATCGTGGTATGGCAATGAAATCCATAGATATTATTCATCTGCAACAGAATATTGGTTGCTTAATATCATTCAATAGTTATTTATCGACAACACGAGATGAAGAGGTCGCTAAAATATATGCTGGTATTGGTCCGACTTTTGATTCTGAAATGTTATCTGTTATTATAGAAATCATTACTGTTCCAAATGTTATGAGAACTGTATTTGCTGATATATCGGAACTGAGTGAATTTAAAGATGAACAAGAAATTTTATTTGATATTGGTTCTGTATTTTTGGTATCGAATGTCGAGTATATCGATGGTGATGATAATGACGAACGATACTGGTATATTAAGTTGTTAACAAACGACAAAAAAACAGATTACACATATATGTGTGTAGAGATGTATATTAAACAGAGAGTAAGTAACTATTATCTAATACCAAAAAATTTGACTTTTGGTCGGATGTTAATTGAATTTGGTTACTATCAAAAAGGTCAAGATTATTTTGAAAACTTATTGTTCACCATAAAGAATTCGCCAATGAGATATTTGGTAGAAGTTTATCAAGCATTAAGTGAAGTTTATTTTTATAATAATCTATATGAAAAGGGTGAACAATATTTTCTTTGGGCATGTGAACTTCATAAAAAGAATAATAGTCACATTGACTTGTTCCTTTTATTAACAAATGTAAGTTACATTATTTCAAATTTAAAAAAATACGGTGACGACAGATCGAAAACAATATTTAACATTGGATTTAGTGAAAAACATCATCTACCACTAAACAACACGTTAAAAATAAAATGTTATTTGTTTCATTGTTACTTTAACGGTGATTATAACTTGGCAATGGATCACGCTATTAGGTTGTTAATTCAATATAAAGAGTATGAACTTTTCGATTATTTTGAAGTAGGTCGATTATTAATTCTTATTGGTAAAATTTATTTCAAACAACTGAAATACTTAATGGCTTTGAGATTTTATAAGTCTGCTTTAAAACATCTAACACCGATTTTACCCGATTATCATCCCGATTTACGTCAAACATCACTATTTATTGATGAATGTTTTGTTTACGGTAACGATAGATCAAATGATGATGATGATGATGTTAATATACTTGAACAATATTTGCCAATTACCCCAGATCCTATTGCTATTTCAATTAGCTATAATGGACAAGTAACAGAAATGGAAATTACAACATTTCAGACTATTCGTGATATAAAATTACAAATTGAAGCGGTGTACGGCATTGTGTACAATGATCAAATTCTTATTCTAGATAAACAAACCAAAAACAACATTAATAATGATATTTACCATTTAATGAACAATAGTAGAATACTTCTTCATAGACGTTAGGTTAACAAAATAATTATAGTTAATGTTCAAACTCTAATTCATTCAATTTACAAAATTGAAATTGATCTGTAACGAGTGTGCCTTAAATAATACACGACACGATCGCAGAAACGCTCCCCACGCCTGGAGAACTTTTTAAGACCTTTAAACGAACAAGCACTGAACATGGTCCTTAACATATAAGAATCTTTTACTCTGTATTTCTAGGATGAGACAACGGATAGCTCCCGAAGAGGAAATCTGCCTATGGATTTGCCCAAACTGAAGTTATGCGTTAGGCGTTCTAGCCGATGTGTGACTGCGAAGATTGATCGAAAGAGGGTTGACTAAAACTATTACGATCTAATGCAACACTCAGCTATAAATTTTCTTGGAAGTTTTGTGTATCCAGTTGAAATTGAAGCCTAGCAATATGCTTCGGCCTATATTTAGTTGTTTGTGTATTTGCTCCACAGTCGTGTCAAGAAAGCTGGATAAATTCTGATATAAATAATATTATCTACGTGATCGAAAAGCTATTTTTTATTACAAAGCTGAAGACTAATTGAAGCGTTTTACAACACCTTCTTCAAGGAGTCATAGTAATCGAAAGCATCACTGGTTTTCTTAATTGTTCTTTTATTCCTTTCTTCAAATGTAAGAAAGAACGAAACTGATCATCTGTTAATGATTCAAAAACTTATCTGAACCTATGTTTTCTCTTTTCTTTGCGCCTAATAACAAGAAAAATATGCCTCACGCAATACGTCGATATTTAAAGTTTTCTAAAAGTTGAAGTGCCAGTCCTAGTCTTCGAATCATTCGAACGAATTTACAAGGTATCGCATTAGTGAAAGACTTTTGTCTACCAAAAATAAAAAAAAGTGAAAAATCACTTTATTGTAATAGAGATGGGACGCTTATCTTTGCCAAGAAAGATAACATTTCCAGTAGTAATATTATAACTGACAAGTCAGGTGATCATGCTTTAAGTTTCTTGGAATGTCTTGATTAGTATTTGACACAACATTCTATGCCATTAATGTTTGAACATCGTTGATTTTTTCTTCTCTTTTGTGTAATTCACTATCTTGATATAATTCTTTTGCTTTCACTAGATATTCATTTGCTTCTTTATATTGGCATAATTCTATACAAATGTCGGCTAATTTTTCATGAGCCGAAGCAAGTTTCTCTGTTCTACAGTCAATTTTTTCATATAATTTCACCACCGTCAGCAAACGTTCTTTAGCAGAAGTAGGAGTATGTATTGCTATACCCTAGTGATATTTCCCGTTTCATTCTTGCTGAGATCTGATCGCCAACCCGATTTTTTCCCATGTAACGAAAAAATGCTGATCTTGACAAAATAAAATCGCGATCTTATAATTAGAAGCGCGTTCTTGATCAAGTTCATTATGCGATCCCGTTTCATCCCTCAGTCACAGGACGCTAGAGCAACGAACTGATCCGAGTGTCAAGTATCTGCCGATATACATTCACTGGAAGTTCAAGAGTGAATGTTTTCTTCACATACGGCAAACGTTACCTTATTGGCACAACTCACAGATGAAACACAAAGACAGTCGCTCTCACTTCTATTCTGAGATCCAACGGCAGTAACGTTTCGAATCAGAACTCAAAAAAATCAGAACTGAGTTTTCTTTTTTTTTCTCGACTTCTCCGGTAATTAACGACTTGAATGTCGTCCAATTACCAGGATAATTCTAATTCTTATAACAATGGCTACCAGAATAATCGTTACGATGCATTAAATACTACTGCTCAAATCGTTGGTGACTCACTTACCATGCTGAATGATTATCATGATGACACTTATCAAATGCATAGGAGTAACAGAACAGATTATCAACAAACTCGTGTTCCTCCTCCTTCCAATGCAAATTTGGTACCTCTTAATTCGCCTGCTCGATCAATTCGTCGTACACATTCTGATTTTGATGAAATCGAGGATGAATTTCGAACTGTAAATAGTAAAAAATCAAAAAATATTGACCCCAATCGTTCAATTCTTCCTGTACAGAGACAATTGACTCGTTCTCCATCTCCATCACTTATGTCTTTATCGTCTCAAGTAAATAATGGAGTGTCAGTAACCTCATCGTCAACAGTCAAATCGCCTTCAAATCAACGTACAACAGCTAACGGAACAACTGTAAATTCTATTTATAATAATCAACAATCTACTGTTTCATTTGAAGCTACTCGTTACGCCCAATCACGTTACCCATTTCACCCTTTTGTCGTACGTTTCTCATCTTCTAAGAACACGGAACAAGAGGTTGCTAAAGATTTATGTGTACACTTGAAACAAAATCGTGGATTAGATATTGAATTAGTGGGATTTCGTCGTTCTATTCGTAAATGTGGTCCAAACGAAGTTGATATTTTACTATTCGTAAAGGATAGTCATTCCTTTGCACATTTATACAATGATCTCAATTGGCCGCAAACTCGCCACGGTCAAGTTTTTACTCATCCGTCATCGCCATCGATCCCCCCCGCAATTGTCTCTTATTG